TATTAATATATATATTATATTATATTATTTTATATATATATATAATTAATAATTATATAATTAATATATATAATATATTATTATAATTTTTATTATAATATATATTATATAATTATATTTTAAAAATTGTATAGATATGTTTTATTAGATCTAATTTATAATATTTTAATTTAGATAGGTGATTCTCGTTATTTGACTCGTAAAAGTTATTTCTTTTTTGAATTATGATAGAACACGTTCGAATGTTCAAAATGATTTCTATCAATTAAATGCATTTTTTATTACGTCTAATAATTCATTAATTTTTGAATAATAAAAGACGCAAAGTTTGATGTTAAGACAAGATTTTGTTTTTAATTGACACAACGGAAAGTGCAACGAACTGTTATCTCGCGTTTCTTTCATTCGTATAATTTAAATGAAATAAAATATATATATATGCCGTTTTGATATGAAATTATAACAATCACGTGATCAAAATAAAACCATAAAGAAATGAAACTTCTTTACGTGATTTAGTTAGTTATGACAAGATTATAACATGCATTAAATCGTTCCGGCATGGTAACAATATAAATTAGTGATCCCGTAGGCGATAAGCTAGAGAATGTAAAGAAAGGTTTCTCGCGTGCTGCATGAAACGAACCCAAAGTATAAAAATAAAAAAAATAAAAAAAAAAAGGAAAAAAAAAGGAAAAGATAAAGATAAAGATAAAGATGATCGCGAGTCACGGATTGCACGATCAACCGACGATCAGGATTTACCAACTTAAGGTATCACGAAACCAATCTAAATGATATTGGCTTTTCATTTTTTTATATAAAATACCAATTTTTTTTTCTCTAGATCCTCTTGTTTAATTATAAATCATTTTATTTCCTTAATTAAATATCAATGTGAATTTGAAATGTAAAAAAAAAAAAAATATAACTTTTCAAAAATCAACCATACGAACGGTCACGGATATAAATTATTGTAGCATATGCGTAAAGCTTATCGGCAAATACAAATTATTACAAAACGTATGAAATTTTTCTATCCTATCTTTTCTCATTTCTTTTTTCTTCTACCCCCACCCCCACCTCCCCCCTTCCCACCTCCCTAAATCCCTCCCTCCTAAGATAAGACCATATTTATGAAGTCATAATTTCACGCATAATAAATACAATTTTGAAATTCATTAAGAAAATGTTACACAGTTACACAGATACGAAATAAAAAAAAAAAAAAAGAAAAAGGGAGAGTACACTTCTTAATAAGATTTGACTTCCGAATTGACGAAGGCCAGAAGTAAAAGAAACTATAGAGAAAGAGGGGGGGGGTGTCCGAAGAAGGATGAGAGAGTAAAGGGTACAGGGGTAGAGGGTTTAGAGAGGAGTTGGAGAAACGTCCATTATTCTATTCCGGCGAAGTGAGCCCGGCAATCTGGGCTTATAAAATAAACCACTCTATCCGCCTCGGTGCTTGTGCCTCCTCGGTGCGATCTGTCAAATAAATCGTTCCATGTTTCTTACAAGCTTACTTAGGACTTTACCTCCGTGAGTAGTACTCTCTCTCTCTCTCTCTCTCTCTATCTTTTTCATTTATCCCACTCCCAATCCGTTTCCCCGGATCCTCCTCCTCCTCCTCCTCATCCCTTTTACAGTCATCTCGACAAGAGGATTAAGAGGAGCTACGTAGAAGAAACAGCGTGAAAACTTATTTTCATACAACGCGCCACTGTTTCTTTTAACGTTGGAGACAAACAACGACAGAATATCTTACACGAGTAAGAAACTTAGTGAGAGAGAGAAAGAGAGAGAGATAGATAGATAGAAAATAGTTAACGATTTATTTAATTTTTTAATTACAAGATATCAAATTAATTATACAAGTAGACACCTGGATGTGGTAATTGAAATGAAAATTTGATCGAACGAAGATGAATATTATAAGGGAAACCAGTTTGAATGACATGAAACAACGTAGTCATACGCTGTTAATTAACGACGAGTATTACACGTTTAGCCGTACACCGCTAATTATTGGATATTCTTTAAATCGTTAATTGCAACGCCAAGTTTTATTATTATACTTATAATATCTGTATATTGAAGTTGTTTATTTTTTTATTTATTCATTTATTTCTGTTTTTTTTTTTTCAATATGTAGATTATTATCTATATATTATAGTTCATCAAATTAATCTCGGTAATAATATAAGAATATAAAAATCTTTTCACATTCGTTTAAGGAGAAAACGACGACACTAAAAATGCAAGAGAGAGAAAAAACAAAACTTAATTTCATTTCATTTTATTTCATTTATTTATTTATTTTTATTTGTATTAATTAATATACCCCGTGTTGTCGTTCAATTCATTTCATATTGTCGAACATTAATATCGAAAAAAAAAAATAAAATAAATAAATGCAAAAAACATCGTACATGACAGCACCCTGTTTTTACCAAGCACGAATTTGGATTAAGAAACTGGGCCTTCCTTCTTTCCTTCCTTCCTTCCTTCCTTCCTTCGAGAATCTACTCTTGTATGAGCAACATGAGAGAAAGAGAGTGAGAGAGAGAAGGGGAAGAAGAGATTAAGTAAAGCCGCGATAATAAATTATATACTCCGTTCCCTTTCTACGTTCCACCGTGTGTCAGCTTTTAAATGGACCGATAGGCATTCAACCGATAGGGATCAACGCTAATTTCGAACACAGTATACCTACGGGTGCATCATGTTCAGAAAAGATGAATTTGGTGGTGGGGTGGGGGTTTGGAGGAGGAGGATGAGGAGAAGGAGGAGTTGGAGGACCATCGGGAAGAGGGGAAATACAGAATGAGAAAAATGTAAAAACGTTTTGGAGAACGAAATGATGACAGGGGTTAATAAAGCACAAACCCAAAAACTTATGAATATAACAAAATCAAGATTTATGTATCCTTCAGTTCATTTATTTCACCTTAAAATTATTATATATAATATATTATTTGTTATATGATATTAGAAGGAAGATTAATCCAAATCTTTGGTTATTGGTCAAATGAAAGAATTTACAATGTTTTTACTAATTTGATTATTATTATATATATATATTATTTTATATTTTATAGTGTATACTATATTGTACTATACTGCTATAATGTACTATTTTAAAATTTTTGAAATATTTCCAAATCTTTGGATATTGGTAAAATGAAAGAATTTACAATATTTTTACTAATTTGATTATTATTATATATATATTATATTATTTTATATTTTATAGTGTATACTATACTGTACTATACTGTACTATTTTAAGCATAATATATTAATTTGACGTATAAATGGTTATTATATTAATATTTTCTAAATGAAATTGATAAACAAAAAAACAAAAATAGGAAAATGTTAATATAAAATAGAAATAAATAAAGTGATGATTTCAAAGTTAATAGCATGACGTTATAAAGAGTAAGAGAAGAGAAGAAACATTTATAAAATGAATAGCAAGAACGTAAAAGATAAATAAAGATGAAGAAACGAGCTGAGTGAGTGAGTGAGAAAAAAAAGAAATAAAGAAAGAGAAAGATAGAGAAAGAATGAAAAAGGAGACTCTCGATCTATAGATCGAAATCTTTCGATCTATAGATCCTTCGATCGACGTATAATTCAATTGAAATTCAACGTGCATAATACTGTTCGTGGTATACATTTAAAGAACGTTATGTAGAACGTTAGATGGTTGGTATCGAAGAACAATTGATTTCTCTTTTTCTTTCTCTCTCTCTCTCTCTTTTTCTATATATTTAATTGTTTTTTCTTATTCTTTCTATCCTATGTTAAAAAATGTTAAATAAAATATAGGAGCGGTTCGCAAAGCCAATTAATGTCTCGCTCCTGTACAAACCCACGCGCTATTTCTCGTTTCATCTTCTTCTTCGCGTGGTACGATATGATAGTAAGTACTTATGAACTCATCAACATTCAAAAAACTTGAAGATATGTGTGTACTGCTAATCAACACGGTCAAAATTCATTTAGAAAATATTTCTATATATATATATACGAATCAAAGAATTGAGAAAAAAAAAAAATAGAAAAAGTACTCACGATGATGTGTGCGTATCCTCCCTTTCGAGTTTGTTCCTCCTCTTATTTGATTTTTTAACGTTTCTCCACCTTCACCACGTCCAACTTCTTTTCCTCTTGTTCCTTTTTTTTTTCTTCTTTTTTTTTTCTTGTTCGCTTAATTTTCTTTGTAACTGAGAGAAAAAGAGATATCTAGCCTTCTGTTTCTTCTCTCGTAACGAGAAGGCACGTTCGCACGCGTATTCTGTTTTTTCTCAAAACTCTCAAGAACGCTCTCGACAAATTTTCAAGAGACTAAGAAAGACACCAGCACCATCATCACCACCATCTACCACCACCACCACCACTAGCAGCAGCGTGCTTTTCAAATTCAATTTCGAATTGTCTATTAATTCAAACGTAGTCAAAGGGGTGTTTTATTTTGTATTATTTTTCTATGAAATTCTTTTAACAGAACTCGTTTATTAAGAAAATTTCGTTCGAAAGGAAGCTGATTCACTGAACGTGCATTTTCTTATGTTGTTTCAGGCTTAACTCTCGTACCGTCGTTATAAATCCTTCTTCCCTCTTCCCATTATCCCTTCTCTTCCTCCTCTTCTTCTTCTTCCTCTTCTTCTTCTTCTTCTTCTTCTTATTATTATTATTCGTAATATAATTCCTCGACCATAACTCGATCAATTCCACGATTAAATAATATTAATTAATAATGATCACACACATATACACGAGAATAAGTAATTGCTGCACACGACAGATTGCAAGAGAGAGAGAGAGAGAGAGAGAAGATGATATTGTGTTGTTTGCAATTGGATGTGTGTATTGTCAGTTTGTAGTTGAGAATATTATTGTTGTTTTGTTTATATCCTCCCACTGGTAAATGTATTTGTTGTTTTATTCGTTCCCAAAGTGGACACTGGAGAAGTCGAGGAGAACGCGAGGAGAGAGAAACCGACACGAGATAGAAACGACACGAGATAGAAACGGCACGAGAGAGATACGGCACGAGCAACTAACTCGGATGCGCGAGGAAAGCTCGGGGCGAAGTGCCAGACTCGTCGTAGTCGTCGTCGAGCTGTCGCTCTCGAAATAACTGCTGCTCCTCCATCCCTCTGCCCCTCTACTGTCCCCTCTACCAGACGCTATCCCTGCCCTCCGGCTACCACCACCAATACCAACACCACCACCACCACCACCACCACCACCACCACCACCATGACCATCATCATCATCATCATCATCTTCATCAACCACCTTCGTTTCGTTTGACCAACCACCACTACCACCCTTCTTCTTCTTCTTTACCTTTCAACAAAATTCAGGTGCTTCGCACTTCTTTTTTCCGTTTACATTCAATTTCTTACAAATATTTAACACGGTGAAAGTAAACAAACTAGGAGGTAAGGAAAATATATTTTTATATATATTTTTTTTTGTTATCTGTATAAATACACGAAAAAAAAATTGGATATACGGTTATCTAGACTAGATTATTTATCAACACGAAAAAGATACACGTGGACTTTCGACTTTTCAATGTTACAAACATTTTACCCTAAGCTTTGTCAGGTAAAGAATTTCTCTCTCTTTTCTTCTTTTTCCTATTTCTAAGGTCGTTTCTCGATTTTTCTACCATCTCCATCTTCCCTTCCCTTTCCTTCCCTTCCTACCTCTCATCCCCTCTTCATCATCTTCTTCTTCTTCTTCTTTTTCTTCTTCTTCACCATCCCTCTTTTTCCGTTTTTTCGAAGGGCTCGCACTCTCACGTGTTTCAAATATGCTCGAGACATGTGTCCTCTGCAACGAGCACCTTTTCCTTTTTTTTTTTTTTTTTACATCATTTTTTTTCTCAAACTCCCCATCTTTTTATTACGCTGATTTTGGAATACACGAAGACACCAATGAAAACAAAACACGTGATGATAATCATTTTCTGCAATTTGCAAATCCATCGATATGGGTCAAGGAGACGTTTGAATTACGTTGACAAATATTTATTATCATATGTAAATAATAATTTTGATTTGAATACACTATAGAAGGATGTAATTTAATCTAATTTAATAAACGTATTGCATAAGTGTGTGTTCGTTTTGATAATATGTGATCATAACTGCATTTGAAAATGAATGATTAATATCTTCCAGTCTCTCTCTTTCTCTCTCTCTCTCTTTCTCTCTCTCTCTCTCTTGGACTTTTCATCGAGAGATCACTTCCGGTTATCGCGAATCCTCTATAAGATCGTGCCGGAAGAAAGAGAGTAACCGGATACGCCAGGAAACATAAATCACCTTAACCGAGAAAGTCGAGCAAACTAATTGTAAGCCGAGGTGTGGTCAATTCGTCGAGTGACTTTACGGATTTTACTTTTTTCCTTTTTACTTTTTTCTTTTTTCTTTTCCCTCCTACCCCTGATAAAAAAGAAAATCTTTTCTGTTATTCTCATTTCTTTTTCCTTTTTTTTCCTTTTTTTTTTTTTTTTCTAAGAATTTTGGTTTTCTCATAAAATTCCTGTCAACTAATCGGGGATCGGTTTCGACAATTTTAGAGAAACATTTTACATTTCTTTTCTTTCTCATATTCTATAATTTAAAAATTAACAAATAAAACTTTGAAACAATCCTGTAAAATGTTTGCAGATTAATCCTAGTAAATTTTAATGTATTTTTTTTTTTCAAATTCCTATTGAAATATAATCGATAGAAATTGTAAACCAAAGTAGATTTTATCATCGATGTTGAGGTTCACGTTCTATAATTTAAAAATTAACAAATAAAAACTTTGAAACAATCCTGTAAAATGTTTGAAGATTAATCCTAGTAAATTCTGGTAAATTTTTTTTTAATGAAAATTCCTATTGAAATATAATCGATAGAAATTGTAAACCAAAGTAGATTTTATCATCGATGTCGAGGTTTACGTTCTATAATTTCAAAAATTAACAAATAAAAACTTTGAAACAATCCTGTAAAATGTTGCAGATTAATTCTAGTAGATTTTAATGTATTTTTGTTTTTTTTTTTCAAATTCCTATTGGAATACAATCGATAGAAATTGTAAACCAAAGTAGATTTTATCATCGATGTCGAGGTTCGCGTTTGCAATGGCAGAGCTAAGGAATTAGTCGTAGATATAAATAGTAGTCCCCCCAAACACACACATACACACACACACACACAGACACACAAACAAACACACATTTGCGTCAAGAGAACAACGACTTGTCCCTCTTTTTCCTACAAAATACATGCACTCACGAATACAAACAGGGCATACACAAGTGCAGGCGTGCACAACCACGCATGTACCTTTGACATATATAAATGTATGTGTCTGTGTATGTGTGTGTGTGTGTGTGTGTGTGTGTATAAATGCATTACAAATATACGATAGGATAGAGGAGAAGAAACATGCACTGAACTAAGCGCAACCAGTAAGAAAGGTTGTCTTTTTTTCAAACAGTATTATAATAGTGTTGTCCCCTTTTCCTCCCCCAAAAACGCCTTAAGTTCCTGTGAAAACAAGGTCTACGTGCGAACGACGCGTATCTTTCGACGGTTAAACAATTTTTATTTCGTTCCGTTTAAACCGAAGTTTCTTTTTCTATCCTCTCTTCCTCTTTATTTCTTATTCTTTTTTTCTTAACACTAATGAGACTCACCCCACGTGTAAACGCAACGCCCCTTTGCGTGATTCTTTAAAGGTATATAAAAACGTACCCTAAGAAACTTACCTCTTTCTCTTTAACTCTCTTGCAATACATTTTTTTTTTGTTTCCTTTTTTTTCTACTCCTCCTCCTCCTCCTCCTCTTCTTCTTCTTCTTCTTCTTCTTCTTTCTTTTTATTCCTTTTATCTTGTAATTTTTTTTTTATTTTTATTTTTATTTTTTTTTTTTTACTACAAATGCGATTCCCCACCCGAGTGAAGTAAAGTACATGGTATGGAAAATAGGAAAAGAAAGGGCTTCAAGGCAGCTAGCGTGGTTAACTCGTAATTAGCCGCTTTACGTACCGTTCCTAATATTCTTCCTTTACTCTCTCTGTCCTTCTCTATTTTAAATCCGATTTTTCTCTCTTCCTCTTTTTATTTTTATTTTTATTTTTATTTATTTCTTTTTTTTTTTTTCGTTTAAGTTAAATTAGAAATACCCAGTAGAAATTTATTTTTTAAACACCGTATTAATTTAGAACAGATAATTATAAATGATTTATTTATCAAGGATATAAATTTTATCATAAGAAGTTGGATTGTGTTAGATTCGATTGAAAATATTGAGAAAGGTAGTGATTTAATAATTATAACAAATGATAGATTAACCGAAAGTTCAAAATTAATATCTCAACTTATCCTAGTTTATTATTTCAAATGATTATGAGATTATATGAACGTTTATTATGACGACGTTAAGTATAATACTTACTTTCTTATTATACTGTTAAAGTTACTTACTTACTTACTTACTTACTTTCGTTCGTTCGTTCGTTCGTTCGTTCATTCGTTTGGCTTTTTCCCTGTAAACACTTCGCGCCTTCGGATGAAATTAATATTAGAATTTTATCGCTCTTACCGTTTCCGTTCTTCCTCGAAAGATCTTCGTCCTTCTTTACTTCCGTCCATTTTGCTTTGCTTCAGAGGACAACATCTTTAACAAAATGAGAAAAACATTTAACAAGAAACTTATGATGACAAATAGAATTTTATTTTATATAAATTCAGGCCCTTTTTTTCTTTCTAATATATATATATATATATATACTTTCTAATATTATTTACTGAGCTATAAAAATATCACAAGTAGATGCTTAATTCAGTGGAAGATTTGTGCCATAATAATGGACGGAGTTTAAATATATATATATATATATAATAATTAATATATTTATAATATATAATTAAATAT